TTATCTCAACATGAAAATAATTTAAAAAATAATAATATACCTTAAAATAAACAGTGAATTTTAAGATGCTGCAATATTACTAGGTCACAAATCACAGATTTTTTTTTACATTGATTATGTGGCTCTAGATTATTGTGACATTGAAATGATCAGATGTTTTTGCTCCCATTGAAGCACAAAATGTTTTCTGGGTCATTCTCAAATCTTGACTGAAAACAAGATCATCAGTCAGTAAATCAAAAGAGGGACAAACCAAATACTAAGGCATTATGAAATTCATGAAAACATTTCAGTTATGCTTCTTACTCTAATTGTTATGCTAAATATTGTATCATTTGTAATGACATGTTGCATTTAATTAGAAAAATTGGGACCTCACTGTATATATCAGCATGTCTCTCTCTGCATCACGTTACAATATACACACTACCCTCTATCCATCTCCATCAATAAAGTGTAATGAATACGAAATGGCGAAAAGGATGCCCTCTCCCCTTTCACTATCTGAGAGTATTGATCAGAAAGAGCAAAGGTCATGCTCTTTCTCTGTGTATCATCTGCCTTTCGAGCTCAAAGAACTCATCTTCTGTTGTACATAAAAACAACTGAATAATGGCAGAGATAATGGTGAAGAAAGGCTGAGGAATTATGCGGTCAAAATAACCAATTGTTCCCATTGCTGAGCAAAGGCTCCATTAACATTTCAATTATATCAGTGCAAACTGAATTCAAAGATTTATTTTTCACTCTGGTTCTCTGTATTTTTGAAAAGCTGTTGTGATTAAGCTTTGCTCTCTTTCCCCACTGAAAGCTTGTGCTGATTTCAGACAACTTGCTCTTATGGCAGACTCAAGTCTCATGGAAACACAGCATCCGAGCTACATGTATCTGAATGAAGCTTCCCTTGACACATGTATGTATTATAAACAGCATGACAGCTGTCACTGCAGCTCATGTCATTGCACGACTGAGGTGTTTTCTCTATCATGTGCTATTGGCAGGGCTCTTCATCATTATATTGATGAATGTGACTGGAGGGTTTGCTTCTGTCGTTTATGAACTAGGACCAAATTGGATTTGGTTAATATGAACAGATTTGTTTTGAGTGTTGATGGTTCTACTTTTTAAAGAAACTAAATGCATCTTAGAATCTGATTTTAAAGCCTGTATTGATCTGCTTTGCACCTTCAACACAGAGAAAGATTAAAAATACACAGTGTATGAGTATAAATAGTCTAATAGCATATTCTTCGAATAGTTCAGTTTTGCATATTCAGTTAGGAAGAGTGTATAGTCAGTAAGGCATTAATGCAAAAATAAAATGATCTTTAAAATGTTCATTACATTATTCAAAATAATCAGCCGAGAAATAAAATGAACACTGCTGCAATATTACAGTAATATTAATACTGAAGTCCTCTGAGGTCATTGTTATTACAGCTGATAACTAAAGTGATGTATACAACGAAACCAGATTGTGGTTTTGTACAAGAGACATGAAAGTAGGACCAGTTTCAGTTACTACAATGACTGGTCTAATATAGCACTGCTATTGTCATGAATGAATCCATGGTGAATTTAAAGAAATATGAAATTGCTGAATGCCACAATGGGCCAATCAGAATTAAGTATTCCAAAGAGCTGTGGGTAAGTCTGTTTAGAGGTTTTAGAGGAAGCTCTGATTGCCTCTATGGTCTTCTTCTCAAAACTATTATAGCAGCACATTCACAGGGTTTCAATGAAAGTGCAACGGAAACTGCTTTTAGTTAATTGCTCATTTGAATCTATAAAGGCAGCCAATTATGGTTATGTGTGCTGTAAATCTGATTAACCTCTCTACACTGCTCCCCTAATGCCATGGAGACCACAAAGGTCTAATGCTTTTTCAACAAGCGTGTGTGATTATAACACAAGTAAAGCCAACCAGTGCTGGTGTACCTAAAATAAACATTAACATATGAGCTGAAGAACTCAGATGGATAATTTGTTAGCTGAACAGTTAAGGACAGGTCCAAATGGAATTTGTGGGTGTTTTTTTTTTTTTTTTTACCCTTTCTGTGGTGATTTAGGAGGACAATCTGTACTTTTATATATAATAATTTGTATTTTATCTCTGTAATTACACAGAATGAATGTAAACGTGGTAAAATATGCTAAACAGAGCTGAAAGTACTAAACGTTTATTGGATAGCATATTTAAATGATTAAAAAATTCTAATAAACAAACACACAAAGCTTAGGGAATGTGCAGAACTTATTCTCTAAAACTATTAAAAATAATTTTCATTAATTGAAATATGAAATAAAATAAAATAAAATAAAATTTTTATGAGAAATGTTGCATTCATTGGCAACTAATTGAAATACACATTGAAAATACAAAAATGACTAAAACTGAAATGAAAATTAAAACTATATAAAAATATATAGTTTTTTTTATATTAAAAAAATATAAAAATATAAAAAGGCCGTAAACGCTAATTAACTATAAAAGATCATTCAAAATAAATGCTACAACAGTATAAATGGTACTAAAATAACACAAATTCCATGCATATTGCATGCTGACCCGATTATGGTTAATAAATTAATAAATGACTTGTCACCATTGTTTTGTATCGTTTATGTGGCTTCTTTGGACATGATTTACCCAATATTCCTCTTTGAAAGTGACAGTCAGAGAATGTGCTAATTTCTACATTTCACTTATCTCCTGCCCTTATCCATTACAAAGGTCTCATGGGAAATTAATCCAGCCCAGAGATGCCCTGCCCATAATTGTTGCACCCATGTCATCGGACTGTAAATCAACACACATTCCCAATACATGCACACACTAAAGGTTATTATATTATTGCCTTAACTTGCTCCCAAAGATGAGACTCGATACACTTTTCATTGTCTGGGTGAGTCTGGGTTGCCCGTTTTGCAACTCTATGATGCTGCTTCTACTCTGAAAAGGTGACGTGGAGAATAATGGACCTGAATTATCACGACAAGCAAGATTAATTGCCTTGAGCTGTGATTAGCCCTCCCTGCCAAGCTGAGCTTTTATGCCTCTATACACACTTCATCATTAAATGCACTCCGTAATCACGTTTCTGCACTGCCACTGCATTACATATCTCAGCCGTAATCCATATGCAAATGACATTAGGGCGGATTGTTATTTAATTGGCCCCTTGAAGGTCTGTCAGCACGTCTTTATCGGCAAGCCCTTGTCTTTTAACTACCTAAAGCGACCCAGCCATCCCCTCATATTCATCTGGCCAACAGAAGCGCTCTGGCTGTCACTGAGTGGATGAATGCTAATGAGAGCGAGAGAGATGAGTCTTTAGTGAGGTCGGGTTTTGGCTCATTGCTCAGTGAAATGTTTGGCCAGCTCTCTGATCATATTTGTCTTCCTCAGTCCATGCTGTGATAAAGCTGTAAGCAGGAGCGGGACAGAGGGGGATCAGCATTGCAGTGTTAAAAATGCACTCAGAAATTTGGGTGGAGATCATACTTGCATAGCAAAAATCTTTTAAATCCATATCGCAGCATGAAAGAGACTAAATAGTAACACTATGAAAGTCATGCTTGGTAACACTGGGTGATGTGTCCCAAATTGTGGAATCATACAGCTCTATGAACAGCTTCTTTAAAGGGATAGTTCACCTAAAAATGTTAAAGGGGTCATATGATGCTTTTTTAAAGATCATTATTTTGTGTATTTGGTGTAACAGAATATGTTGACATACTTTAATGTTCAAAAAACACATTATTTTTCAAATACTGTACATTATTGTAGGTCCTCTATGCCCCGACTCTCTCAAACGCTTAGTTTTCTACAAAGTCCCTCCTTCCGACAAGCGCAGTCTGCTCTGATTGGCCAGCTGACCCAGTGCATTGTGATTGGCCGAACACCGCAAGCACGCATCTCGCTCCCAAGAACAACTGCGTTTTATATATTTTAATGTATTGCTGAGAAAGCCCGATTAATGATTAATACAATGAGAGCTACAAGTACGTCAGTGTGAGTTGTTGGGGGAGGGAGGTGGTTCCTCGACCCTCGTTGTCATAGCAACAACGGTGGAGCGATCTTTTAACAGAGGGGCTGGATTGTTTGTTAGTTGAAGTCACGTGACATACCGCTGGGGGAATGGGGGCACTTCCTTTTTTACTGCACTGAGACGGCTGTTGTCAGTTTCAACAAAATGGCTGCTGGAGCGCCACAAGCGAAAACCCAGTGAACGCTACACGTCAGTGCAGTATCACTTTAAATGGATGCACTGGAATTTCCCTACCTTCTGAGCGTCGGGACATTTACTCGCGTGGACTCGTTAACATGCGTATTAGCGAACTAAAGGCATGCTGAGATATTCCCTTTACGCACTTTATATACATCCAAAAGCTCAAACTGCCAGTGCGCGCGCGTCTGTGTGGGTGGGTGTGCGCGTGTAGCTGCTCCTAAGGGTCGCGGAAATGAACAGCTGATCAACCTTAAGCTTTCTTGCTGACATGCAAAACTGTGGTTTAATGTCCTTTTCACTGTTTGCACTGGCGTTTTAGAGCCCCCCTCCCTCCCTCCCTCCCCCCGGATAAATTCCGCTGCAGATTGAGAGGTGAATTCCTCAACTGGAAAGTCGGGCTCGCCATTGCAGCTCAGTGTCTGACTGCGGCTGAATAATACCTGGTCTGTGTCAGTAACGTTACGGGTATCGACGACAACATCTTTGAGACGGGATGTTAAACCTAGTATCTAAAATGGATGCAAGCGCTCCCAAGAACAACTGCGTTTTATATATTTTAATGTATTGCTGAGAAAGCCCGATTAATGATTAATACAATGAGAGCTACAAGTACGTCAGTGTGCGTTGTTGGGGGAGGGAGGTGGTTCCTCGACCCTCGTTGTCATAGCAACAACGGTGGAGCGATCTTTTAACAGAGGGGCTGGATTGTTTGTTAGTTGAAGTCACGTGACATACCGCTGGGGGAATGGGGGCACTTCCTGTTTTACTCCACTGAGACGGCTGTTGTCAGTTTCAACAAAATGGCTGCTGGAGCGCCACAAGCGAAAACCCAGTGAACGCTACACGTCAGTGCAGTATCACTTTAAATGGATGCACTGGAATTTCCCTACCTTCTGAGCGTCGGGACATTTACTCGCGTGGACTCGTTAACGTGCGTATTAGCGAACTAAAGGCATGCTGAGATATTCCCTTTACGCACTTTATATACATCCAAAAGCTCAAACTGCCAGTGCGCGCGCGTCTGTGTGGGTGGGTGTGCGCGTGTAGCTGCTCCTAAGGGTCGCGGAAATGAACAGCTGATCAACCTTAAGCTTTCTTGCTGACATGCAAAACTGTGGTTTAATGTCCTTTTCACTGTTTGCACTGGCGTTTTAGAGCCCCCCTCCCTCCCTCCCTCCCCCCGGATAAATTCCGCTGCAGATTGAGAGGTGAATTCCTCAACTGGAAAGTCGGGCTCGCCATTGCAGCTCAGTGTCTGACTGCGGCTGAATAATACCTGGTCTGTGTCAGTAACGTTACGGGTATCGACGACAACATCGACTTCACCATGCAGCTCATTTGAACAGCAGACCGCAGTTGCGCCGTGTGCGAAATAAAGGTAAGATGTTGCTTTTTTAAAAACAGTTATACTGTTTCAGTGGGCGGGGTGTGATCATTTTGGGTGACAATGCGTCATTTTAGCATTTTCTTTTGTGCTGTTTTGTTTCTGACAACTAGAGACATTGCGAAGGGGCGCAGGATTATTGAAATCGCCTGGCATACGCTGTTTAAACGCTCGCAGGTCGATTTAATAACATGTGCTTTCTGTTCTGTTTTGGTGGCTAGGAAGCTTGTGTGTGCAAATGTTTACTCCCCCAAACATCAACATTGGCCCATTTTCTAAACAGACGAGAGATAAGATTTCTTATCGGATTTCAGTCGTATTTAAGATTCATACGTAACGTTACGCCAATGTGAGCAAATGAGTGATTTGCCCGTTGTGTTTAGTTAACGCCGGACGGTGTGTTGTGTGTAAAGACATGTGTCCAGTATTTGATGGGAGTCCCGTCACGTCGTTTTGATGCTTGTCTCCCATTGAGGCACCTCACGCTGAAATTATATTGTTGTGCTACTGCTTTGACTCTAACCCTGGGCGATGAACGATAAAGAAACAACCGCTGTGGTGTTTATATTTCCATGGGGTTTGAATTAGAGATATGGCGCTTTTGAGTTGCTTTTATTTTTGGTTAAAGCTCTTCCATTCACTGTGTGCTCTGTCATTTGCCCTTGAATAAAACATTCAGATCCCTCAAAACTATTTTACTTTAGTTATAACAAAATACTGTTTACATTTTCTTATATATATTCTAGGCTTGTTATTTTCCATGGAAGAATACTAGAGGTTTTATTGGCGAAATGGTGTTTGTAGCAATTGAGAGTAACTATATGTTGACTAAGATTGGTAATAGTTTTCAGCCAGATGTCAGTATTACCTTGGTATTACTGTGAAATTGTAGTTAATTCATAAGAAGTATGATTCAAACCACGTAAGCTGTCAGAATGTTTCTGTCAGTGTTTATTTTCCTTATGGACAGTGTTTGGCAATGCCCAATTACTACCGTTTTGTTGTAGTAACGGTAACTGATATTTAGACGGACACTATGGTTACCTTGGCAAATTTTCGTAAGGCCGTCGAATAGGTCTTCTTGGTAGTGCAGGATAATGCTAACGTCTGAGGACAGCACCAATGTCAAACGTCCCCTTGGCTGTTCATGTGGTGCAGTTGCTAATTTGGCAGGGAGCGTTTCGGCTCCCCTCACAGGGTCAGGGGCCCTCCTGTCAGAGCCAGACCTTTGAAAAGGGCTGTGTGTTCTCCAGGAGTGAAAAAGGGTCAGACAAAAAGAGGCCACTTAATGCTCAGATTACCATAAAGCTTAGGTCACATTGCCCCTCTCAGCTTGTTCTTATGAAGCCTAACCAGCATTACTGTGGCTTGGGATTTGCACCATGTGGCTGCACGTCTGGTCGTTTGTGGCTGTTGGTTATTGAAGTGGAATCATTGTTGCCGAGTCTGGTGTGTGATTCCCTTATGAAACTTGGTTACTGTATACTAACTGTGTCATTTTGAGCAAGACCATAGTAACCACAGATAAACCCATGGATTGCTTCTCATTTCAATGGTTAGATCTATGTTAGACTGGTTTGGTTTCTGTAAAAACCAAAAAAACTATTTTTTTGTTTCAAAAATACAATCAACGTACTGTCATAATTGTAATAAACAACTTTCCTGTACAAATACCACATTATAGTGTTTTGCTAAAGTAAAAACATGGCAATTTCTTCAAACAAATAAACTCAAGGCAGCATTAGCTTGCAGGTGTTTATCTCTTTGCCTAAATTCTGCGAGCAGCTGTCATTTTCTTCTTCTTCTTTGTGTGTACTTCATTTTCCAGTCTACACATTTTAGATGTCCAAGTTTGTTGCTATTTTCTACACTTGGTGGTGATATGCCACTTTGCTCTGTTGGCAAATGTATCAAGTTTAGCATTTCTATTCAAATCTAAAATAGAGACTTCCATCTGAGCTTCTCACAGTCACTGGTATGCAACTAGTAATACTTAAGGAATCACTCTGCAGTTTATAGCTGATTGATTATGTCCTATTAATTCCCACATTCCCTTCTGAGCCACCTTGTAACAATTTTTGAGCATTATTGAACCAGAGATCTTTTGTCTGTTATGCTAAGTACTTTTTGGTTTTTACTGTCTTTGAGTCATCTTGGTGTCTTGTCAAGCTTTGACATTAATGCCTTAAATCAGCCTGGCTCATCAATAGTGCAAACCATGTTTTGTTTGTTTGGACAGAAGACACTAACCAACAGCTGCGAGTCCCAAAGTTAGCTTTATGCTGACCTCTGAAGATTGTGACTGGATCTGTGTCCCACTGACCTTCATTGGACTTGCTCATCATGATAGATAGCCTAACACTGATGTAAAGATCTGCCTTTGATACCTTTATAACATAAGCCTGTTGAATTCAGATTAAGTCTCTTGAGACTTTATTTACACATGAAAAGCAATAGGATTTTTTAAATGTGTTTGTGCTTTTTTTCTCTATTTATGCAGGTCTGATTTAAGGAGTTGAGTTTTTGAACCTTCAGGATGTGTTTTTGGCATGCGTTTTACATTCTTCTTTAATTGGTTGAAAACTGCAGGCCAAAAGGCCGCTCAGATGAGTCTTTCAAGGGCAAGTTTGCCTCTCTTGAGACACACTGTAGCAGTTCTCTGAATTCATTAACCTTTTAGAAAGACATGTTTTATCCATAGATTGCCACTTTTCACATGCTTGGTTGCATGCAAAATGGCAGCCCTCAGTTACTGTGAAGGTGTATAGTCCTTCCTGCCCATCAAGCCTTTCAGTATGTCTTAAAGATATATGAAAATTCATTCATTTACTCACCCTCATGTCATTCTAAGCCCAAAAAGACGTTGGTTAATGTTTATAACAAATTCTGATATTTTAATAAAACTTCAGAGTTTTCTATTGAAAGTCCAGGTAACCAAAACCTAAAAGATCCAAATAGGCTAGGTCACAAAGATTTTCAAAGTCACTTTTATCACCTTTTTGGATCTTCTATGTTATGGTTACCTGGACTTTCAATGGAGCGACTGAAACCTCTCAAGTTTTATTAAAATATCAGAATTTGTTATAAACTTTAACCAATGTCTTTTTTGGCTTGGGCTTTATTTATTTTATTGAGACAAATGTGCAATCGCTGAAATACCTACGTGATTTGAGTATAATGACAGTGGTCTTTATGTCAGGCATTTGTATGATCTATTATGGCAATAAAGTGTCAGCAGAGCTTGTGAAAGTGCTTTCACTAGTGATTTTGCAGGAAGATGAAAGTCATCGGACTGCTATGACGGCGAGTCGGTCCAGTGAAAAGCTATTTTTAGCGGCTGTTTGCTCTCCAGGAACTGAACATATTTTTAAAAATCACCTTTCGCTGTTTTTCATTGGCATGCAGGCTGGTAGGAAGTTTTCTTCTCCTGAATTAAAAAGGTGCCGGCACATGGTCTGGAATTCATAAAACAGGAATTCACGCTGCACTTTCACCGCTGTTTAGTCGCCTGCGGAAATAAAATCAGACTCGAAAGGTTCTTTCACCCCAATCTTTTTTCTGTTATTTGTTGAGTGTGGCTGGGTGACTAAAGGAGATTTTCGTGTTATCCAGGGGTTTACTGGCATGTCAGGTCTGGTCTTCTCAAATGGCTTGGAAGTTATGGGTTTCTAATGCGTGATCGTGTCGGATGGAGGGGCTGCAGATTTCTTTCTCTGTAGGCTGCTGTTGCTAGCCAGCGGGTTCCCGAGGGCTCTCGGCTCTCTTGTTTTTCTTGCAGGGTTGACATTTTTTGGCTCTGTGCCCAGAGAGCGTCTAGTATCCCCCCCCACCCCCTACCACCGCATCTCCACCCCAACTCGCTCATCCCCCTCCCTTCCTCCACCTACCGCTTTTCCTACAGTACGTCACACTGACTGTTACTTGGACCGCATCACTTATAAATACATATTAGGCCAACAATGAAGACAGTTATGTTGTGGGATGTCTACTTAATGCATTTATTCCCCTGATCATCAACGGTTATTCACACACAGTTAAAGCAAATATCAGTATAGACGGAGACATGATAATTATGTACTGATAATGAGAATCATTTTATATACATATTCAAACACAATAGTATAAAATGTATTACTAGCCATTTTTTGAACAAACATAAAAAATGGTCACTTAAATGAATCGTTATAAATGGTACAAGTGAATTTATGCGTCACAAAATCAGTATGAAAAGTACAGTATAGGGTTGTGCCAATAGACTATAGTATCGTATATCGACGATAGTCAGAGATATCGCCTGTGGCTGATGCCTTTGATGATAACAAGACTATTATTATTATTATCAGGCTAGTAATACTATCTAATTAATATTAGGGCTTATTTGTTCCATCATATTTATTTTTCCGTGTTTTTACAGTGTTGCGCAAATGCGCGTTATAACCAATCACACACGATTCTGTTGAGTTTATGAATGCAATGGCCAATCAGAGGTGTTCAGACGAGTGACTTCTGACTTGCGAATTCTCTCATCATAAACAACAAAGTGCAGGTGTACATGCGATGTAAGTATAAGAGATTTATTGTTCATGCGGTGTAACTAGCTTCGCTGATTATAACGGGAGTGTTTTTAAAGTGCATAAACTCGCGCTAGACTGAAGTCAGTTGTGATGTTCTTTGATAATGTAAAAGTTCTTTGCTCGTTTTCTGTAGCTGCTTTTCGAATAACTGAGGAAATGTAAGCATTATAGTAACTTACAATGTTTCTATAAAATTATACTATACTATAAAAAATAATGTTAATTACAAATTCAGTCATTAAAAACATTAGGCTTCTTTTAGCCTTAAAGTCGGCATGAAATCAAAATTGACAATTCTTATTTTTTGATGGAATACTGTAGTGTTTATTATAAATAATTTATCTGTGCACTTCATTATTTTTTTAAATTCATGTGCCGTCGTAATCTTTAATCAAAAACGTTAACCTCCCCTCCCCCTTAAAACGACTCCTCTACTCTTCCGGTCACGAGCTATGGCGCAAGGGCGGAGCTGCCAGCAGGTGCAGTGACATCAGTGACATTTGGAATAAACGACAGGGGGAAAAGCTGAAGCTGATGCTTCACTTTATAGCACTGGCACCAGTCATAAGGGAGTACATTGCCCTTAAACATTGAAAATATATTAGGATATTACAACAACATTACTCGTAGAACATCGCAAACTAATTATTATTATTTTTTTCATGAATATGACTTAACCTGATGGAGGATGCGCTCAGTCATTCAGGCAGTCTCTCTCTCTCTCTCTCGCTCTCGCTCTCTCTCGTAGGCATGTTTTATGCCGTTGATCGTCGTCGCCATCCTTAATAAATAAAACATTTATTCATGCTAGGGTGTCGGCGGTGAATCCAGTGGAGAGAAATCCCCCACAGCTAACTGCAAACTGGCATTCATATCTGATCAAATCAAGTCTCGCCCTCTCATTTCAGATGCTGTTTCACTCGGATATACGTCACAGCAGAGGAGAAAAGACAATCGCAACTTCCGTTTCATGCCGACTTTAAGTGAACATATAGTGAAGTATACTGGAGTAAGAGACTTCTTTCAAAAACATGAAAACGCTTTAATGTCCCTGAATGTTTGAGTGGTAGTTTATCGGCCTGAGCACCGGTATTGCACCAACATATTGTGCATCACTAGTTTAAAATGTTTATTAATGATTATCTATAGGAAGAAGCGGTGGTCTCTGCGCATAGGTTTCCTTCAGTCTTGCCTTGGTGCATCTGGTTCATGTCACATTTGTTTATCTCTGATTCATCCACTCAGAGTTTACTGAAAACAGGTGGCATACAATGAACAAAGTTCAAAGTCAGTGTTTTTATTCCTAAAAGAAGTGTCCCTCTGAATCACAAGCACTTCCTCTTTTTCCTGTGAATTTCTTGTTAACACTCTTTTCTGGCTGTTGTTAACAAAGATTCAGACCAGCTCTTACGCAATTAATCTCGGTTCACAAGTGGATTTTTTTAACTAGAACTTTTAACTCAATGCTGTTTTCATTTATTTTGCAAGCCTAGTGATTGGATTCTGCTTTTTTTTTTGTCTTAAAGCAGGTTGGTTTGTATTATCAAATGAATAGGGAGAGAAAGTTTTCTATTTTAAGCTGTTTGGTGTTCCTCCTCAATACTAGAGCATAGCTTGTCTTTTGTTAAAAATATTTTAGCTTTTTGTGGTTTAGTTTTATTGGTAGTAAACCAGACTTTGTTTTAGTCTGAAAAGCCACACTCACAGTTGATTACATTTCTAGGTTCCCTTTCTACATGAGCAAACTTGTTTGTTTGTTCATCCATTTTTATTGTTTTATTTCAGCTACTGTTTCAAGAAAGCAAATATGTATACTTGCACTACTGTTTAAAAGTTTGGGCTCAGTAAGTTTATATTTCTTTAGTGTGTGTTTTTTTTGTCATTTTATTTTATTTTATACTTTTTGATTTGGCAAGGATGCATTAAAATGGTCAAAAGTGACATTTATAATGTTACAAAAGATTTCTATTTTAAATAAACTTTTGTTTTTAACATGGTTGTAACAAGACATGTTATTAGAATGATCATGTGGCACTGAAGACGTTTCATTTGGGGGATCTGACATGTTATCAGGTTTATAGTTACTAGATATTTTTGTCATAATTAATTATTTCTCTATGTTTATGTTTTGTTATATTCATGAGAATTTAGTTCTCTGTTACCTTGAACTGTCCTTGGGTGGTAACGTGATGTGAAAGATATGAATCGGCCATTAAAAAAATAATTTTTGCTTTAAACACTTTTGTCCTGAAATCATTTATCAAGAGTAGAGAATTATATGTGTTTATAATGTGTTTTATAGTTACTTAGTCAGTTGTCTGTATTTATTTTAAAGCCTGGGACTAAATAACTCACAGCTGATCTATTTTCCACAGCCTTGGCACAAAACACGTCACACAAGAGGAGAACCATTTGATGGAAGAAAAGAAAAAGAAAACGCAAGAGGAAAAGAAAAAGAAGGAAGCTGCTCAGAAAAAGGTCAGTTTCTTTCGCGTGACCCACAAGCTTTCACGTAGAATCTTTCGCTTGCATCCTTGTTATAAAAGCCGCTTAACGGACACCTTACTGATTCTGTCATAAGCTTTTGAGACATCTTTACCAATGTAAACCACAGGTACCAAACTGGACACCTAGAGCTCACAACAATCTGTTTAGCATCTGCCTTTGAAGCTCTGTTCAAACACAGATAGTTATTATGGTGCTCACTTCTTAGACATCGTCGTGGAGTCATCTTGGTTTTACTAATGCAACATTCACTGAGGTTACACAGGCCACGTCCTGCTGCTCTTTGGATTGATTAAGCACCAAATATTCAGCTGATCTCTATTTGGCATAATACTTAAATAGAAAATCAATCAGTTATAATCAGTAATGTTTTCTCCAAGATTTATGTTCCACTAGTCACTTTTACTCGGTTTAGTTTTTCCAGAAGAGACGATTTCTTTGTTATAAAGCTTTTGTACGTTTGACCTGTGGAAGTGTTCATCTCTGTCTACCTTTGTTCTTCCTTTACAGGCTGCTGAACAGACTTTAATCAAAAACGTTAACCTCCCCTCCCCCTTAAAACGACTCCTCTACTCTTCCGGTCACGAGCTATGGCGCAAGGGCGGAGCTGCCAGCAGGTGCAGTGACATCAGTGACATTTGGAATAAACGACAGGGGGAAAAGCTGAAGCTGATGCTTCACTTTATAGCACTGGCACCAGTCATAAGGGAGTACATTGCCCTTAAACATTGAAAATATATTAGGATATTACAACAACATTACTCGTAGAACATCGCAAACTAATTATTATTATTTTTTTCATGAATATGACTTAACCTGATGGAGGATGCGCTCAGTCATTCAGGCAGTCTCTCTCTCTCTCTCTCGCTCTCGCTCTCTCTCGTAGGCATGTTTTATGCCGTTGATCGTCGTCGCCATCCTTAATAAATAAAACATTTATTCATGCTAGGGTGTCGGCGGTGAATCCAGTGGAGAGAAATCCCCCACAACTAACTGCAAACTGGCATTCATATCTGATCAAATCAAGTCTCGCCCTCTCATTTCAGATGCTGTTTCACTCGGATATACGTCACAGCAGAGGAGAAAAGACAATCGCAACTTCCGTTTCATGCCGACTTTAAGTGAACATATAGTGAAGTATACTGGAGTAAGAGACTTCTTTCAAAAACATGAAAACGCTTTAATGTCCCTGAATGTTTGAGTGGTAGTTTATCGGCCTGAGCACCGGTATTGCACCAACATATTGTGCATCACTAGTTTAAAATGTTTATTAATGATTATCTATAGGAAGAAGCGGTGGTCTCTGCGCATAGGTTTCCTTCAGTCTTGCCTTGGTGCATCTGGTTCATGTCACATTTGTTTATCTCTGATTCATCCACTCAGAGTTTACTGAAAACAGGTGGCATACAATGAACAAAGTTCAAAGTCAGTGTTTTTATTCCTAAAAGAAGTGTCCCTCTGAATCACAAGCACTTCCTCTTTTTCCTGTGAATTTCTTGTTAACACTCTTTTCTGGCTGTTGTTAACAAAGATTCAGACCAGCTCTTACGCAATTAATCTCGGTTCACAAGTGGATTTTTTTAACTAGAACTTTTAACTCAATGCTGTTTTCATTTATTTTGCAAGCCTAGTGATTGGCTTCTGCTTTTTTTTTTTGTCTTAAAGCAGGTTGGTTTGTATTATCAAATGAATAGGGAGAGAAAGTTTTCTATTTTAAGCTGTTTGGTGTTCCTCCTCAATACTAGAGCATAGCTTGTCTTTTGTTAAAAATATTTTAGCTTTTTGTGGTTTAGTTTTATTGGTAGTAAACCAGACTTTGTTTTAGTCTGAAAAGCCACACTCACAGTTGATTACATTTCTAGGTTCCCTTTCTACATGAGCAAACTTGTTTGTTTGTTCATCCATTTTTATTGTTTTATTTCAGCTACTGTTTCAAGAAAGCAAATATGTATACTTGCACTACTGTTTAAAAGTTTGGGCTCAGTAAGTTTATATTTCTTTAGTGTGTGTTTTTTTTGTCATTTTATTTTATTTTATACTTTTTGATTTGGCAAGGATGCATTAAAATGGTCAAAAGTGACATTTATAATGTTACAAAAGATTTATATTTTAAATAAACTTTTGTTTTTAACATGGTTGTAACAAGACATGTTATTAGAATGATCATGTGGCACTGAAGACGTTTCATTTGGGGGATCTGACATGTTATCAGGTTTATAGTTACTAGATAATTTTGTCATAATTAATTATTTCTCTATGTTTATGTTTTGTTATATTCATGAGAATTTAGTTCTCTGTTACCTTGAACTGTCCTTGGGTGGTAACGTGATGTGAAAGATATGAATCGGCCATTAAAAAAATAATTTTTGCTTTAAACACTTTTGTCCTGAAATCATTTATCAAGAGTAGAGAATTATATGTGTTTATAATGTGTTTTATAGTTACTTAGTCAGTTGTCTGTATTTATTTTAAAGCCTGGGACTAAATAACTCACAGCTGATCTATTTTCCACAGCCTTGGCACAAAACACGTCACACAAGAGGAGAACCATTTGATGGAAGAAAAGAAAAAGAAAACGCAAGAGGAAAAGAAAAAGAAGGAAGCTGCTCAGAAAAAGGTCAGTTTCTTTCGCGTGACCCACAAGCTTTCACGTAGAATCTTTCGCTTGCATCCTTGTTATAAAAGCCGCTTAACGGACACCTTACTGATTCTGTCATAAGCTTTTGAGACATCTTTACCAATGTAAACCACAGGTACCAAACTGGACACCTAGAGCTCACAACAATCTGTTTAGCATCTGCCTTTGAAGCTCTGTTCAAACACAGATAGTTATTATGGTGCTCACTTCTTAGACATCGTCGTGGAGTCATCTTGGTTTTACTAATGCAACATTCACTGAGGTTACACAGGCCACGTCCTGCTGCTCTTTGGATTGATTAAGCACCAAATATTCAGCTGATCTCTATTTGGCATAATACTTAAATAGAAAATCAATCAGTTATAATCAGTAATGTTTTCTCCAAGATTTATGTTCCACTAGTCACTTTTACTCGGTTTAGTTTTTCCAGAAGAGACGATTTCTTTGTTATAAAGCTTTTGTACGTTTGACCTGTGGAAGTGTTCATCTCTGTCTACCTTTGTTCTTCCTTTACAGGCTGCTGAACAGAAAACCAAAGGTCAGTTATGATTCTCTTTGCAATGCTGCTCTAAGTTTATTTTTTAAAGATCTTCTCCATATACATATGTTCGTACCACATGCATCTCAAACACTACTGGAGTGGCAAAACAAAATAGTTGTATGTGCGACAGAATTTTTAAATGCTAACTGGTTAGTGTGTCTTTATCACTTGAGAGTAGAGAAGAGGTGAAGAGTAGGTTCTGTGCAGTTATTTAGTGTATGTGGGCGAACTGAATGACTGGCACAAGACAGCGCAACAGTTGGTAGAGACAAATCGGCCATGTTTGGTAACTGCTGAAGGATTTTGTGCATTTTAAACATTTAAAAACAGGAGTATTGAGCAGTTGTAACTGGCCATGCAGTAAATCAGGATTATATTCCTTAAAGGGATAGTTCACCCAAAATTGAAAATTCTGTCATTAATTACTCTTTTGTTTTTAACATGGTTGTAACAAGACATGTTATTAGAATGATCATGTGGCACTGAAGACGTTTCATTTGGGGGATCTGACATGTTATCAGGTTTATAGTTACTAGATATTTTTGTCATAATTAATTATTTCTCTATGTTTATGTTTTGTTATATTCATGAGAATTTAGTTCTCTGTTACCTTGAACTGTCCTTGGGTGGTAACGTGATGTGAAAGATATGAATCGGCCATTAAAAAAATTATTTTTGCTTTAAACATTTTTGTCCTGAAATCATTTATCAAGAGTAGAGAATTATATGTGTTTATAATGTGTTTTATAGTTACTTAGTCAGTTGTCTGTATTTATTTTAAAGCCTGGGACTAAATAACTCACAGCTGATCTATTTTCCACAGCCTTGGCACAAAACACGTCACACAAGAGGAGAACCATTTGATGGAAGAAAAGAAAAAGAAAACGCAAGAGGAAAAGAAAAAGAAGGAAGCTGCTCAGAAAAAGGTCAGTTTCTTTCGCGTGACCCACAAGCTTTCACGTAGAATCTTTCGCTTGCATCCTTGTTATAAAAGCCGCTTAACGGACACCTTACTGATTCTGTCATAAGCTTTTGAGACATCTTTACCAATGTAAACCACAGGTACCAAACTGGACACCTAGAGCTCACAACAATCTGTTTAGCATCTGCCTTTGAAGCTCTGTTCAAACACAGATAGTTATTATGGTGCTCACTTCTTAGACATCGTCGTGGAGTCATCTTGGTTTTACTAATGCAACATTCACTGAGGTTACACAGGCCACGTCCTGCTGCTCTTTGGATTGATTAAGCACCAAATATTCAGCTGATCTCTATTTGGCATAATACTTAAATAGAAAATCAATCAGTTATAATCAGTAATGTTTTCTCCAAGATTTATGTTCCACTAGTCACTTTTACTCGGTTTAGTTTTTCCAGAAGAGACGATTTCTTTGTTATAAAGCTTTTGTACGTTTGACCTGTGGAAGTGTTCATCTCTGTCTACCTTTGTTCTTCCTTTACAGGCTGCTGAACAGAAAACCAAAGGTCAGTTATGATTCTCTTTGCAATGCTGCTCTAAGTTTATTTTTTAAAGATCTTCTCCATATACATATGTTCGTACCACATGCATCTCAAACACTACTGGAGTGGCAAAACAAAATAGTTGTATGTGCGACAGAATTTTTAAATGCTAACTGGTTAGTGTGTCTTTATCACTTGAGAGTAGAGAAGAGGTGAAGAGTAGGTTCTGTGCAGTTATTTAGTGTATGTGGGCGAACTGAATGACTGGCACAAGACAGCGCAACAGTTGGTAGAGACAAATCGGCCATGTTTGGTAACTGCTGAAGGATTTTGTGCATTTTAAACATTTAAAAACAGGAGTATTGAGCAGTTGTAACTGGCCATGCAGTAAATCAGGATTATATTCCTTAAAGGGATAGTTCACCCAAAATTGAAAATTCTGTCATTAATTACTCCCCCTCATGTCTTTCCACACTCACAAGACCTTCGTTCATCTTCTGAACACAAATTAAGATTTTTTTGATGAAATCCATGAGCTCTCCGACCCTGCATAGACAGCAACGCAACTGACATGATCAAGGCCCAGACAGGCAGTAAGGACATCGTTAAAATAGTCCATGTTGTGAATGCACATGGAAGACTTATACGGAAGAGAAGAAATTGTTGAATAAAGTAATTATTTTTGGTTCCTTTGCACACAAAAAGTATTCTCGTATCTTCATAATATCACGGTTGGACCACAGATGTCATGTCACATGGACTATTTTAACAATGTCCTTACTACCTTTCTGGTCCTTGAACGTGTCAGTTGTGTTGCTGTCTATGCAGGGTCAGAGAGCTCACGGATTTCATCAAAAATATCTTAATTTGTGTTCCGAAGATGAACGAAGGTCTTACGGGTTTGAATAACATGAGGGTGAGTAATTAATGACAGAATTCTCATTTTTGGGTGAACTATCCCTTAGCTTACTACTTTGTCACAGCTCATGTTTTATTCATCATGAATGCACAAAATAATATTTTTATACTTTTAAAAAATTTTTTTTAGAGACATAACATTTCATAACTTTACATTTTCACAGTCAATTTTCTAATACTTGTTTTGCTCCTTTTGTAGATTATCATAGTTTTAAACGGGTAATAAAATGATGAGTTTTTAGAATAAAATCTGTGTCTGGGACAAGTGCAAAACTATAAAATCTATACATTGATTTGTAATTAAATGCTGGAGAAAAGTTTAGTGTTACAAAAAGAAAAAAGCTGGGGAAAAAATCAACCACTAGGACATAAAAGTTCTTGTAGATGAAGAAACACCCATTCATTCAAAGTTATCTGTCCTGTGTTAGTAGATCTTTATCCATATTTATAAGACATTATCCAAATTAAAAGAAGGGAGAGTGACAGCACTGGAAGAGAGACAGCGAGAGCAAGAGAGGAAAGTATGTGCTGAGCTGACGTGTTTGGTTGAGGACTCCTTGCCCCATAGGACAGGTTACGGCCCCTTCATTGAGAGGGGTGAGGTATGAGGCAGTACATTTTAGACAGCAGAAAGGGCTTTTTGAGGGCTGTCTTGTGGCAGATGGGAGAGGGATTTATGTCATGTGAGGGATAGAGAGTCATAAATCTCATTAGAGCATCTGCTAATGCTGGAACTCTCAAACATCAGACTTGACGCAGGAAGAAGTGCTGGTTTAATGCTTACAGGGACCTTCTATTGCAAAATACTCCGGAGAACTGAGTCGTCTTTGTCCTTTCACACTTTCATCCTCCGAATCTCTGTATCACCGCATGAGAATCTCTCTTTTCTTTAATCGGTGTGCACTAGGGGCATTCGCAGAGTTCTGCTAATTAGATGTAATCTGGTTTTTCTTTGTTTCACATCTTTCTTTATCCCCTCTTGGGCCACGGTTCCTAAGGACACGCATTATCTTCAGCTGATAAGGATATGTCTCTTCCTTCTGCCTGTTCGATCTTGAATTTGGCTGACCGGTTGCTGGGTGGCTCGACATGCGTGTTAGATTTCTTGTGTGTAAAGAAAAGTAAGATAGACCAAAGCACTTGTTTGTTGAGAAGGATTTGTCGAAGGTGATAGTGTAGCATAACCCTCCTGGATCGATGTTGACCTTTATATGTCTAAGCCTTCTAAATCCTTTACCCAAGATACCGTCTGTGTGACGGATCTCTTATAATCTGACAAATGTGATACAAACAAATAGATAAAGGGATGTTAGAACTGTGCCAAAGGGTTTTCCTTGTTAATGTAGGTTTTGCTGATTGTTCATTTACAATTCATCATTTACTCACTTATGGAGTTATTTCAAAACAGTTTGTCTTTTTTTTTCTTCTGTAGACATAAAATATGTTTTTTTTCTATCCATACAATGGAAATAAATAGTGTGGTTTGCAACATTCTTCAAAATATCAATTTCATTCTTCAAAATATCAATTCAAAATAATGCCAGAATTTAAATATTTGGGTTAACTATCCCTTTAAAGAAGCTCTGTATATATAGACTGGTTGAGGGCATGTCTGTCTGATGCCAGATGTGTTTTCAAAGATGTATAGATGCTAATCTCAATTGTTCAGTGGGGTAACTGACTGGTATTCATCACACAAAATGACTGAATTATGCAACCTTTTAGCAAACAAAATCATCAGTCATTATAAATACAGAGACCTACGCGTTAATAACAGCAAGTGATTTGAAGACTGACAATCATTGTCGTGAAATGTGTTAAAGTTTGAAGGCTCGACACAACTTCTTTTAGTCTTTCAGCATGTTCAAACACTCTCTGTGAAGTTGTGCTCCCTTTAAAGCACTGCCACTAAAAATGTTAAAGCCACCTAAAAAGAAAAAAAAAAGTAGTTGACCTCATTTTTAATTTTTCGCCTACTAGTTGACCATTCTGACCGTGCTTCCTTCTAATAACAAGTATATATGTGATGTTCTCTGAGTGTTAGTTGGACATTTTATATTCAGCATGGTGTCACCTAAAGAGCGTTTGTGTCATTCGAGAAAGGTGAAGGGGAGCTCTGAGGCGTGAAGCTCTGGAGAGACTGGAGAGGCTTTGGTACAGAGTGAGCAGTAGATGACTGCCGAACCATCTTTTTCTTTTCAAGAGAGGCCCAGGAGGCCCCACACAGGGGCACATGCACACACACACAACCTGGAGAAATTCACAGAGCAGTGCTCTTGCCAAACCGACGGAGTATTTTTGTGGAATGAAGAGAGAGAGGGAGAAAAAAAAGAGAAATAACAGAAGAAAAAAAGGTTGATGGAAAGCTGCTGTAGGTGTCTGTGTCAGTAGAGGAAGAGAGCGATGGAACCGTGTGAAAGAAAGAGTGAGAACCTGCTTAAGTTTCCTGTCTCTTTGTTTTGGCCGCAGAGAAACTCAAAGGCCTCGGCAGATAGTCAGGCAACTGAAAAAAAGAAGAAAAAAAACACCCCCCTTTCACCTCTCCTTTTTCTCCCAAGCTATTTCTTTCTCTTTCACTTTCTAACTAATTGTCTTAACTCAATCTCATACACACAAACCTCATGGACTAAATTAGGTTTGCTGCTGAATTTTCTGTTGTTTCTGCCTTTTTTTTTTCCCCCAGCTTTTTTTCCCCCCGGTTCAGGCACCACTTCAGCCACGGGTACGTTCTGTCTTGCACACTTATTATACACTTTTGGTTGTCTTTAACAAGCCCTGCTTTTCAGTAATAAAGGTGGTTGTTTAAATAAGCGTAAACTCTGAGATGTTTTTTAGTGTGCTCTGACATGCTTGACAGGTCAGTTTTGGTTTGAATCGAGTTATGATACTGTGAAATGTATTGAATTTTTACATATATATTATATCTTGAGGAATGTGATTGAGTGGGTACTGTTTATCTTCTCAAGAGTTTGGATCAGTCACTTAGAAAATAATGGTTTATGTATACTAATTGCTGGATTTGCGATGGTTTGCACTCTTCATGTCATCAAATCTTGAAAGCTTCTAAAAAGATTTTTGTTGGAATCACACAGCAGCAAGAAAACAGCTCCGTCTCAGTCACAAGTCTATATTATACTTTTCAGTAGAGCCATATCCATTAACAATTTTATTTTACTTATTTCTTTTAGTGCCGACTGTAAGACGTGTATGTATCTCTAATTGTATCTCAACTAGTAGGGCATGGTGGTAGCAACTAGGCATGGGCCGATTACCGGTTTCAAGGTATACCGCGATTTGAAAATGTCACGGTTTCAAAACCGCTAATATTTTCCGTTATACCGTTCCTGCAGTATGCGCTGTTTTTCATGTCTCCTCAAAGACTGGAAGTGTAGGAATCCCTCAGGTTGAGTGCAGTGTAGAGAGTAACACGACCCTCCTCCTCCTGTTGGTGCAAGCGAGCGGTCAGTCACGTGTGTGTAGGACGGCCGAACTTAAGGAGCTTCCCCTGGAACTTACGCGATCGGCGTTTTTTTGTCTTATTGCAAGAAACTCGTCTCTGTTCTGGACTTGTACAAACTGCGTTGCAATGCAATCGTTTTCCAAAATGTAATTTATGTGAAAATATGAAGTCTGTAAACGCCTGTTAACACAGGCCAGAGACGCTGAAGACGGACGCACAGAGAAAAATACTGTAGCAGGCAGATCACTCACTGTTCATGATGCACGAACTATTGGAAGAAAATCCTCAATATTGATTTGAGGGTTTAAATGAATGTGTTTCTGAGGGGAACTGACTGTCTTCAGAAAAGTTTACAAAGTATTTTCTTTTCATCTTGTCTCTGTATAGTTCATATTAAAGCAGTGTTTCAGGCAGTGCTGCTTTGTTTACGCGGTAACCAAGGAAACGCAGTATCTGTTGTTCCATGAGCGCCTCCTGCTGTCAGAGAGTGAATCTGCATCTCATTCAGAGCTTCTGCTGTTTGCTTCGTTCAGGCATGTAGTATAATTTCACAAAGCTAGTCAGAACATTCTATTTTTTCTTCAAATTGGGTTCTTATTAAATCAAATTGTGTATATGAAATTATATAACTAAATGATATGAAATT